TACGGTAAGCAGATTAATATAAAACTTAAAGAATTTAAAGATTTTATTCGTGGATGATTTCGCGAAGCTAAATCCATTAAATACCGAAAACCGTTGCTTTGGTTCGAGGGTCTACTAAAAGCGGATCTTTTGCTCGTTGAAATAACAACGCGAAAACGGAATTTCTTGCCTCCGCAATTAGTCTTTTAGCCACTCGACGGTCTCCTCTGTTATCGTTTCGTCAACTCGAAAGGCTGTTGACTTTACCTCTCGAAACGTTTAAATTTTCTTCGCCTATATACTCGAAACAGAAAAATAACCTCACGTGAACCAGACCTTCTCAATGGGTTAATTTAACGTTAAGGGGGATAAACCCGTACAGGGACCAACCATGCACCATTCTATGCGTCCCATCATGCACTCACTCTCAAACTTGAAACACGAAATGGCTACAATGCACTCTGGAATGGTTTGAAACGGGGAGCGCTACCCCTACGACGACACAACGGGGAAGCACAACATATACATTATATAGATATATCTACTCACATATGGTTAAAAGTCGAGCCATCCGGAATTGGCTGCTGATAGCCGTCGATAGACTACTATAAACTCGAATTGCATCCGAACCACTTATACAACCTAATAACTTTGTAGGGGAATTCCCGAAGGAAATATACTCCTATATTCCTACGCCTTATTAAGCGGAAGTGAACTATTCCAGCAAATTTACCATTACTGGAACGAATGGCAATACGAATGTCTCTTACACTTATAGAATTTGATTATAATGTCTTTTCGTCAAGTAGATAATTTGAAATCAAGATCAAAATAGAAACAAAATCAGTCTTGTTCCATTTTTGACAATACCTTTATTTTACTTATTTACTTAGCTAAAATAAAGTGACACAATTGTGCTAGTCTAAATTATAATAAATATCTACCAGGGCTGCAACCCTTTCTCTAAAAGAAGCCCCTGCAAATGTATAAACAGTCTGTAATGTAAAACAACCAAAAAATGACGTAAAGGTGATTTGTGGGACGCTTGTGGTAGGTGATCGTACAGGTCCGTCTTCAGGCCGATTTACTAAACTTAATTTTAAAAGACTGCATTTTTATACACAAAAATTCAGTAACAATCTCGCTTGAAGTCAATACCCTTTTCTAAAGGCATTTTAAAGGGAAACAAACGGTAAAAATCACAACTACAAACATTTTCAAAAACAGACAGCTCATATTTAGGTGTTAATAACAACTGATAATAAATAGTTAACAAATTAAAATCAAAAATAAATCAAGAATACTCGGACTTGCTAATTTTTTAAAAATTGTTTTCATAATAAAGTCAAAAATCGAAGAAAAAAAAATATGCTGACTCCATATTTGCAGCAAATTAAAATTAAATTATCTAATAATAAAATTTTACGTATTATATATATGTATATTGCATACACATCCAATCAAAAATGCTTTTAGCCTGTAAAGGAAATGAAATTTCTTCATAGTGTCTTTTCTACTTGGTTACATAGAATACGTAAGTAAGATTGAAAGAACATGAAATTGCTATTGTTTAGTTTGCTTCACTCAGCAGGAGACTGTATTATGAAGCGACAGCAGTTCTGTGTTGTGACGGGAAAGTAAATCTGTGAGAATAAGGCATTCGTAAAAATTGAAAATGTAAATTATCATTTGTAAGTCTTGCGGGAATCGCAGATACATCCTTTACTGCAAATTGCAGTAAATAAAGAACAAAATACTGATACAGTAAATGTTTATATTTGAATGTAAGCCTAAGAGCCTTTGAAATCATATAAATTTTTAATAAGTAATTATTAAGTTCCGGAAAAGTTAGAAGAAAACTCAAAATCCAGGAAAGTTTTAAACAGAAAGAAACAACACAGAAGTAGTTTTTCTTTCTCTCCCTTCACTCCTGATTCTGTATGTGATATGTCTTCTACTAGCATTTTATGTTTCAGAAAATGCCCGACCATCCGATATCTCTTTTTCCTTTTTGACTTTTTTGACGTGACAACGTCTTATAATTCGATGGACATGACTCATGCGGCGTTATCTCGCTCTGAGGCGTTCCATTTAAGGCTTGAAGTGCAAGCGAGAGCGCGGAATGAGCGACAAAGAGGCACAATCAGCCTCCGCGTTCGGCAGCGTTCGACATCTGTCTCTCTCCTACTCGAGTGAGCGATGCGTCCGCGTGGACAGCTGCTATACAATAATACATTTCCATTTACCTCCTTCTCTATATCCATACAAAATATCTATCAAACAAATAAAATTAAAATTTTCTTTTGAAAAATGAAACCATTCCATCAGTATTTTCTTATGACGTTGTCACGTTCAACTATCGTCAGTAAACCGACTTTACAGACAACCGATTTTTTTTTAATAGATTTTCCCTCCACTGTATTTCTATCATCCCCTTGTAACACCAAGTTTCAAACGCTTTTAATGTTCTTCCGCTGCTTCCACCGTCCACGTTTCGCACCCATTTAGAGCTGTCATTATAGAAAACAAAATTTTTTGAAGTACCCAACTATAGAAAATGAAATAAAAATTGTACAAATTTGAATGAAAAGTATTGGAAAAATCAACAAAACATTTTAAAGCATATACTTAAAAATCGCAAACAGACTTCTCAGAGAATTAAACTCGATAATTGTTTCTTGCACACCCCAACTAGGTAAAATGTCCATATTATTGGTACATACACCTTAAACTACAAGTACTATCTTCTTTATATATAAAAATGAATTGCTGTTCGTTAGTCTCGCTAAAACTTGAGAACGGATGGACCGATTTGGCTAAGTTTGGTCTTGAATTATTTGTGGAAGTCCAGAGAAGGTTTAAAAGTTGAATAAATATGAAAGTTGTTAACTATATTTCAGATTATTTAATAATAATGATAAAATGTAGGTAGGTAGTCGATGTATAACGGCTAATAGTTTAAGGGTTTCGGTTAAGTTGAAGGATTTGAAAACATTCACCCTGCTTCTAACCTGCGACCCGATATTGCCTTTGTGACACTTTACGATCTACTTCCGACTGATCTGCATATTTGAAGGAAATCCTCCCGGGGACTGGTTGGCACATATAATACATGCTTTCCAACAGCTACCATCAGGAAAACTTCTGCCGACATGCAAATTCTGCATCACACACAACACCCTACTTCTAGTTAACTTCCCATTAGGAAGTTATTGTAATTGGGTCGAAAAGTGAAATCGGAATTTTCATTATATTTCCACGTTTTAACATATTAGTAGCATGCTAGCCAATTTTTTTGATGATGTGTGTATGTACGTACGTACGTACGTACGTACGTACGTA